CGGCTGAATTGGGGAAGCCGGGCGCAGAGCAGCTCCAATTGTCCTGCTGCCTGGAGCACTTCCGGGTCCCCGATGGTGCCGGACCATCAGGGGTGCCGGAGCATTGGATGCCGGACCAATGGAGTTTTACTGTACTTGTATAATATCTGTATGTGGAGTTATAAATATGTACTCTGTGTTGATGCTGGAAAATTCTCTGTCTGAGACAGAGCAATGGGCAAAGAATGTTCAGCCAGTGGCTACGCTAATTAGTGAGGAGGCAATGAATACACACCTGAGGAATGTGACTGATACCAGCAAACCATGCATGTGAAACACAGATCGATCACTCGAGCATGTGACCTGCTCTGGCCAGGAGGATGCCAGGAGAAGTATATAAGTGCCATGTGGCACCCTCCATCTTGTCTTCAGTTCAGCTCCTGATCCCAGATGCAGCCTTGCAAGAACAACGAGCCGGAAAGAACTGTGGACCCATCCTGACACAGGATGTACACCAGAGACTTATACGCTAGGGCTGTGTCTAGACTGGCAAGTTTTTCCGCAAAATCATCTGATTTTGCGGAAAAACTTGCCAGCTGTCTACACTGGCCGTTTGAATTTCCGCAAGAACGCTGACGATCTCATGTAAGATCGTCAGTGTTCTTGCGAAAATACTGTGCTGCTCCCGTTCGGGCAAAAGCCCTCTTGCGCAAATCATTTGTGCAAGAGGGCCAGTGTAAACAGCACAGTACTACATGCATCTGACGAAGTGGGTCTTTGCCCACGAAAGCTTATGCTCCTACGCTTCAGTTAGTCTATAAGGTGCCACAGGACTCCTCGTCGCTTTTGCAGATTCAGACTAACACGGCTACCCCTCTGATACTTAGCACAGTACTGTTTTCTGCAAAAAAGCCCCGAGCGTGAAAATGGCGATTGGGGCTTATTTGCGGAAAAGCATCCTGCCAATCTAGACGTGCTTTTCCGAAAATGCTTTTAACAGAAAACTTTTCCATTAAAAGCATTTTCGGAAAATCATGCCAGTGTAGACGTAGCCTAGCAGTTTATATTGAGAACGTGGTGTAATGTATTCTCCTTAACAACCTTACTCTCATGCTTTTCTTTCTTTTAGCAATAAACCTTTAGATTCTAAAGGCTTGGCCCAGCGTGGTCTTGTGGGTAAGATCCAGAGTGTAAATTGACCAGGGATTTGTGGCTGGTTTCTTGGGACCGGAAGAACCTGTTCGGGGTAGGTGAGATTGGATTCTATAACCCCTCACCTGTGTTAGGCCCGGGGCTGATTGGGGCACAGGGAGAGCTGGGGGGTCAGAGGGGTTTTGCTCATGAGGCTTCTGTCTGGCCAGATTGGCAGCTGGAGCGCTCAGTGTGACTGGCTTGTAGCCTCAGTCCATCATAGCCCCACTTCCCCCCCCCAGAGCTGGGACGAGAACCCAGGAGTCCTGGCTCACCTGTGGGCAGAGAATAGCCACGGCACAGTCCACCCAGTCAAGCCTTTGATACACCCCCTAGGTGCCCTGGGGGGGCAGAGAACAGCCACAGTGCAGGGGGCTTGGCCACAGTCTGTCCCCTATAGCGGGGGGTTGGGGACTGGGTCCTTCCACCAGTCGGTGTGGCCCCCTGCCCTGCACTGCGTTCCACCCCCGGGCACTGCCAGAGCAAACCGAATTCACCCCGGGGCACTGCCTGGAGCCCAGATCTGAGCCCCTGCTCCGCATGCGGCAGGGCTCACCTGGAGACACAGAGCTGCAAATAACCAACTGAGCGGAAGTATTTTCAGCACGTGTGTGTGTGTGTGTGTGTGTGTGTGTGTGTGTGTGTATACACATGCCTGTCTCTGCTGCCCCCTGGTGGTTTTGTGTGTGTGTGTGTGTGTACATGCAGGCTTGTCTCTGCTGCCCCCTGGGGGAGAGGGGTGTGTACATGCATGCTTTTCTCTGCTGCCCCCTGGTGGTTGTGTGTGTGTGTACATGCACGCCTGTCTCTGTTGCCTCCTGGTCGTTGTGTGTGTGTGTGTGTACACACACATGCCTGTCTCTGCTGCCCTTTGGTGGTTTTGTGTGTGTGTGTGTGTGTGTGTGTGTACGTGTACCTGCACACCTGTCTCTGCTGCCCTCTGGGGGTTGTGTGTGTGTGTGCACGTTTCTGCTGCCCTCTGCTGGAGTGGATGGGTCTTGCTCTGTGTGTGTGTGTGTGTGTGTGTGTGTGTGTGTGTGTGTGTGTGTTGGGGGTACCTGAAGTCCATCACTGAAAATTCACTCAGGATGTGTCTACACAGCACCCTTAGCTCGAAATAAGCTACGGAATTTGCGCTATGCAAATTGTGTAGCTTATTTTGATTGTATTTCAAAATAGCTTATTTCATAATTTGGCGCTGTCTACACAGAGCCAAACTTCGAAATAATGCGCTATTCCAAAATTCCCTTAGCCCCCATGGAATGAAGGTTGCCGGAACAAGCCGCCTGTGATTTCGAAATCTGGTTCGAAATAAGAGGCAGCTCCAATAGACGCGGAAGAGCCCTCATATGTCACCTGCTAGTGACTCCTTATAGACTAACAGATGTATTGGAGCATAAGCTTTCGTGGGCAAAGACCCACTTCGTCAGATGCATGTAGTGGAAATTTCCAGAGGCAGGTATAACTATGCAGGCTGGAGATGACGAGGTGGATCCAATCAAGGAGGACGAGGCCCACTTCTAGCAGCTGATCTGGAGGTGTGAATTCCAAGAGAGGAGACGCTGCAGATTCAGACTAACACGGCTACCCCTCTGATGCTAGTGACTGCTATTGATTAGTCGGCTAGTGGACCCGGAGGCCGCCAAAGCCCCCGTGTTTGCTAGGGGGCTACCGCCAGGCTATTCCCACGCACTTCATGGCTCCGCGGGGGGACACGGTGGGAGAAATGTCTCCCTCTTTTGTGCAGAGACTTGGCGTGAACACAGCGTCTGCATGGTGCAGGACGGGTGTCTCGGCTGGTGCGGGCCCACCTGGGCGAGGATCCCCGCAGGAGATGCCAGCTAGAAGGGAATTAGGCCTGGTAGGGTCATCCCCCAAGGTTCAAAATCAGGAATCAGAGCTCTCAACCCGTTCCCCCAAATCCATGAGATTGGCTCAGAAACTAGGAGATTCTGTAGCCAAAAAGGTGCTGGGTTCTGTCAGTTTGCCTGCTGGGTTTTTGAGCTTTCCCGGGCCTTGTTTGCCAGGAGATGCAACAGAAATGTGCTTATTTGTTGGACATGAAAGCTGCGATCCTTGTGGGCCTGGACTGCAGGGCAGGGCACGGGTATTGCAAGGGCCGGTGACCCTGGCGTGTTGTGTCTGTTTCCCGAACCCCTGCTTTGCATCGCGGGCCTTTCTCCAGTGGGGTCCGACAGGAGACCAAGCTGCCAGGGCAGGGTGAAATGTGGGGGGAATGTGATCAGGTTTGGCCAAGGATGGAAGGGGGGCAGAGGAGGGTTCTGCTTTTGGCTGCTAGGCCAGGGCTGCAGCTCGGGGAGGATCCTTACCCCTAATGCAGAGATGGGGCTGAACCAAACCCAGGGGTCTGGGGACATCAGGACCTGAACCTGTTCTGGGTCAAAACAGTGTATGCTGGGCCCATCCTTGCCCACAAGGCTTGGGCCTGATGCTGCATTGTTCTAACTCGGCACTTGGGGGCCGGGGTACGGGGAGGGCTGCTCTAACTCATGAGCTACTTCCTGTGGGTCTTGGGGGTGGAGAATAGTTACAGCGCAGAGCACTCCAGCCACACCCCAATCTACCCCTCTGGGGAGCAAACAATAGCCACACACGGTACGGGTCAGTCCCATCCCAGATCTGCCCCCTACGGGTCCTGGGGTGGCAGGGAATAGCTACTCTGGACACCCCCCTGACCTATTCCCCATGGGCCCTGGGGTAAAGGAAGAGATAGCCATGATCTAGAGGTCTCCAGAAACACCCCCGATCCCTGGGGGCAGATTCAGCAAAACT